TTCAATAAAAGACTTTAAAAATGGTCCACATTAAAAAAAAAAAATCTTAAAAAAAAATATACCAAGGAGTGCCATATAATTTATTAACAAACTAAGACACCTTTGAAAGTGCTAAAAATGTTAAACTAGACAGGACCCCAGGACAGCAGATGTAAACCCAGACTGTTCCAGGCAAATGGAAATGCAGGGTCAGTCTAAATTTTAATACCTGGCTGGAAATAGGATGTATGAAGAGGACAGAGAGAAGAAAAGGCTAGAAAAGTAGAACAAGACCAGACTGTGGAAAGCCTTGAATGTCATGTTAAGGGATATGGTCAGGGAAAAAAAAAAAAAAAAAAAGATAATTTTAGCAACTGTGCAAAGAATTAATTGTAGGAGTATAATAACCGGGCATAAAACTAATTGAGAAGATGTTTCCATAATCAAGATTGAGATGGTAAGCATCTAAATTAGGACATGGGCTGTAGGGATGACAATAAATGGACAGATTTGGGAAATATTTTGGGTTAGAAAGTTTAAAAGCATTTCCTAGAGAGTTCCAAAAACAAAAAACAAAAAAATAATCTTCAGTAATAGCAGCATCCCTGAAATAAGTATAGAGCTCTCCAAAGTCATTACTGTAGAACAAACACATTGTGTTCTGTTTAGTCTCCTACAGACTCTGCACATGTGCTGGACCGGACCTATGTAGCCCTGGGCGTGCACCCTGAATGCACTCACTGTATATAAACTTGTTTTCTGTTTAAAAACTGACCTGCACTGTTCATGTTTCTGCATAGGACACTGTTTTCTCCTGCCAGAGAACTGGAGGAAAAGGAGGCAACCCGCAGTCCAACTGGGTAAGTTGGGTTGTTTTCGGTTTGTTTGTTTGTTTGTTGTTTGTTTTTGATTGACAGTGGTTTAAAACTCAGCTGTCTCAAGCAGTTTAAAAAATACACCGCGTGGAAGTCAAAGTGAGAATGGATTTCCATGGCTATGGTTCTAGGTAACTTTTTAAGAAACATATCTAATTTTGTAAAATTAACCAGGTTCAAAAATTAAGTAATTTCATGATAATGTAAACCAAGTTTTGTCATCCTTATACACTATCAATGACTTTACCTGAAATACATTGCAGCTGTGGGCTCATGGAAGTGGCTAAACAAACTTAAAGTATGCCTTAAATCAGATCACCTGAGTACTTATTAATTGAAAGCCAGAGGATATGAGTAAAAATTATTAACTACTCCCCTGGCAGATAGGGATCAGGGGCTAGAGAACTAGAAAGAAACAGACTTAGAAGAGAAATCAATGAACCAAATCATCTCCCTGCTTCCAACTTCAAGGCTATGGAATGAAATCTTTGCCCCAGGGGCTCATAAACCCCTTGCTTAAATTAGAAAGTTTAGACTCTATTCCCAGCACACACACAAAAAAATCACACAAAACTAGAGTTAAAATAAGCAAGGCAAAAAACAAAATGACTATGATTTTAATCCCTTAATACAAACAAGGGGATGAGAAAGGCTGATGACACAGTGAACACTAAGCCCAGACTCCCCCAAGGTTATGGCCCTCTCTTTATAATCGGAGTTTCGGGTAGTGTGCGGCGTCCTGCATTAGATAAACAATAGAAGATTAATCATGTAAAATGTTCAAACGGTTTGTGTAAAATTTATGGATGTTTAGAAGGTCCCACAAAATAAATGTTCAGACAAACTGAGCTAAAGAGGCATTTCCCTGTTACCAGTTGAAAGTATAAGGAAAGTTTGTAGAAACGGGATGATGACCAGCTGTTTCACGTCTCCACTAAGAAAATAGGATGAATTTGTTTTCAAATACTAGGATTGGACAAAGGGAAGAATATTCCACCCATAATATTCTATCTAACACTGAAATGGTACATGAAAGACATTGCCTATCTCAGGGAGTTTTAAAAGACAATTAATGTTAGCTTGCTGGACAGGTCATATATTCCTGGGAAGGGAAGAGCATATAATGACATGAGAAGCACGAGGCTATGAATTCTGTCATGAGGAAGTAGAGTGATTCGCTTAAAAATGTGGCTGTCACTTGACACCAGGTTTTGGTTGGTGTTTTTTGTTTGTTTTGGTTTTGGTTTTGCCGTGCTCTGTGGCACTCAGTATCTAGTTCCCCGACCAGGGATTGAACCCAGGCCAGGGCAGTGAAAGCCTGGAATCCCAACCACTAGGCCACCAGGAACTCCTTGACGCCAGTTTTTTGTGTGTGTGTGTGGTACGCGGGCCTCTCACTGTTGTGGCCTCTCCCGTTGCGGAGCACAGGCTCCGGACGCGCAGGCTTAGAGGCCATGGCTCACGGGCCCAGCCGCTCCGCGGCATGTGGGATCTTCCCGGACCGGGACATGAAACCACGTCCCCTGAATCGGCAGGCGGACTCTCAACCACTGCGCCACCAGGGAAGCCCTGACGCCAGTTTTTGATGTGGTTTTTCTGTTATCTGATTACTCTTAAACTAGCAACTAACCAACCTCACAATGAGGTTAAAATGAAGAGGAGTTCTGTTCTTTCAAAATTAATTTTCAGTTAACTACTCCAATTAAAACTCTAACTGGAGTTTTGCATTAAAAAAAAATCAATAAAACATCCGATACCAAAATGTATTTAGGAAAATAAACACGGATGAAACCCAGGAATATCCTGGTAAAACAGTGGCTGAGGAAGTCTAAACTGGAGTGTTACTGATGTAGGAATGGATATGTTAATCAAGAGGACAAAAGGGAAAACTGGAATTGCATACAACTATTTGGAAGAATGTAACATATGACAAAGTAAGCTCCTCAGCAAGGGAGTAAGGAAGGAGTTTTTAAAATAATGTCGGAATCAACAGATACCAAGTAAGGAAAAAGTCGTTTAGAGCCATACCTTACCCTACATAACAAAATAATCTTGAAATGAATTTATACATTCATTCAACAAACGACATGAAGGGTCCACTCTACACTGGGTGTGCAAAAACGAAAGACCCAGTTCCCGTCCTTAAGGTGTTCTCAGTGGGACGGGGAGCGGGGTAGGTAAACAGAAAATTACAAAACAACTTGACAGGCAGAGGGAAGCTCAAATTGCCCATTCCGCTGAGGATGAATGGACAGGTAGAGGTTAGCCAGGCAACGGCAGAGCAGCAGTTAGGAGGATAGAGTATTCCAAACTTCCAAATCCTCGGTGACTGGGCACCGAGTGTGTGCCTTGCGGTGTGTGGGGGGGAGAAGGGGGGGGGGGGGGGAGGGTAGATCACAAGACCAGGAAGAGAGGTCGGGGCACAGCAGGAGACTCCCAGGCAAGAGTCAGCAGACCGATGGCAATTTGAATGGTATCTTCAAACCTACAGGGCTACAGGGAAGGATTTGAAGATAAGGAAGTGGCATGATCAGATAGGTGGTTCAGAGAGCTCACTTCCCAGCAGCGTGCCAGAAGTTTTAAGCAGAGAACAAGAAGCTATTTGCCATGAGATCAGTTGGATGGGACTGCCAGTTTTTCCAGGAGGGAGGAGAGCCCGAATTAAAGCAGGGCAGCAGGGAGGGAGGTGGAGGAAGACACGAGTTATTTAGGGAACAAACTTGATAGGCCCGAGTCACCACATCTCTAGCATTTTAATCTGAGCTAGATGCAGCTACTAAGAAAACTTAGGTGGGAGGTAGGTTTGGGAGTAAAAGGTGATAAATGCAGTTTTGGACACAATGAGTTTGAAAAGCTTGTGGAACACCCAAGGGGAGAGGTCCATTTACAAACTTTGTTTTTGTGCATTTGAGCGTTCTTTTTTTTTTTTTTAAATTTTATTTATTTATTTTTGGCTGCGTTGGGTCTTTGTTGCTGTGCGCGGGCTTTCTCTAGTTGCAGCAAGCAGGGGCCACTCTTCGTTGCAGTGAGTGGGCTTCTCATTGTGGTGGCTTCTCTTGTTGCAGAGCACGGACTCTAGGTGCACGGGCTTCAGTAGTTGTGGCTCGCGGGCTCAGCAGTTGTGGCTCGCAGGCTCTATGGCACAGGCTCAGTAGCTGTGGCACACAGGCTTTGTTGCTCCACGGCATGTGGGATCTTCCCAGACCAGGGCTTGAACCTGTGTCCCCTGCATTGGCAGGCGGATTCTTAACCACTGCGCCACCAGGGTAGTCCCTGTGCATTTGAGTCATCAATAATATGAGTGATAGGCATTTATACACTATATTCATTTAAACATAAATATATGATGAATACCTACTACATTCTGAGCTCTGTTCTAGGCTCAGGAGATATAGCAAAAACCAAAACAGATAAGGGCCCTCCTCCAACATGGCCCACATTCTAATGGTGTGAGTGGGACAAGAGTGGAGAGACATAAAATTATCAATTTTATATATATATATATGTTAGTTACAATAATATCTGTGAAGAAGGATAAACTAAGAGACTAGAGAGTGACAGTACAGGTAGAGGGTCAGGCCCGGTGAGGCAAGATGCCCAGGGTACCAAACGTAAGGAGGCACACATTCTCAGATGCTGACCCTGAACTTGCCTCCTTAAATTGTGTGCCCTGGGCACATTGCTTGCCTCACCGGTCCTGACCCTGACTGGATACCTGCTATTTTCTATGGATAACAAGGGAAGCTTCATTTGAAAGGTGACACTTGAGTAGAGAACTAAATAAAGAAATAAGCCAAGTATCTGGAGAAGGAACATTCTAAGCAGAGAAAACCACATGTTCAAGGCCCTGAGGCAGGAGGACACAGTGTATTTAAGAAAGGTCCTCCCCTGAGGATATGGGGAGGGGGAAGGGCAAGCTGTGACAAAGCAAGAGAGAGGCATGGACATATATACACTACCAAACGTAAGGTAGATAGCTAGTGGGAAGCAGCCGCATAGCACAGGGAGATCAGCTCCGTGCTTTGTGACCACCTAGAGGGGTGGGATAGGGAGGGTGGGAGGGAGACGCAAGAGGGAAGAGATATGGGAACATATGTGTATGTATAACTGATTCACTGTGTTATAAAGCAGAAACTAACACACCATTGTAAAGCAATTATACTCCAATAAAGATGTAAAAAAAAAAAAAAAGAAAGGTCTCCTAGAAATCTCACAAAGGAGAATGTACAGAAGAGATGAGAACCAAAGACAGAACCCTCACAAGAGCACAATAAGGGATGAGCAAAGGGGCAAAGAGCCTGCAAAGAAGCCTAAGAAGGAGAGGCCGGAGAGGTAGGAGAAATGCCAGGAGAGAGTTCTGTCATCAAAGCCAAGGAAGGTGCTTCTCAAAGAGGAAGCAGTCAATACCGTCAACCACTGCAGAGATCAGGTAAGACACAGCACAGTATATGGCTGGCATCTGGGAATGTGTCCTGCTTTGGGGGAAAACAGCTTATGACTTGGAGAACTTTCCTAAACTAAGTCCACACCCAAATGGAAATTTTGGTGCACTTTGGTGCACTTCTAAACAATCCTCTGTCTGGTATGGAAAGTCACCATAAGTACTTTCATTTTGGACAAACCCAAGCGATGCAGAAACTAAAAGTAACACTTCAATTTGAACACCTTCAGCCCAGCTGTGGTAGTCTCATAGGAACTGATTCATAACGAAAGTCTCTGAATTCATGTCCCCTGCTGGCCAAATCCTCTCCCATAAATAGGGTCAGTTGCTGAAGCTGCCGTTCCCTATGGGAATACACAGTCTCATTCTCTGATCGTCAACAGAGGCCCAGGTTGGTCCTATACAACACATTGGTCTTAGAAACATTCTAAGAATCCTTCACCCAATTGAATGTGGGTGCCCCCAATCTCATCCCCCTGGGCTAGGTGAGTGGGCATCATTTGTGAACTGTGAGTGAGCATGAAGCCTCAGGTTCAACTTAAACCAAAATCTTTGCCAGATGGGGTACTTTCCTTTTCACTGCAGTCCAATGCTTTGGGGAACTTGTGGCTTCACACTTTTATCGCCAAAATTCACTTACCAACCAAAACGAAATTACAAATATCAGAGAGTATGTGGGGTTTCATGGTTTAACTCAGGATCGGAGAGGGAGACCATCACTGTAATGAAGTCCAACGAAAGGCTCATTATATAAAATCAAAAGAAAGCCAAGAAACTTAATATGCTCAAGCTCACACCTGCCTGTGGAATAATAATAATATCATATTGCATTTTTCACCATTTGGAAGGAAAACCTACAAAATTTTCAAACTCCAAGCAAAGCTCTCTTTTGACTTTTGAACTTCTAAACAAATTTGTTTACTGAGCAATGCTTAAGCCTGTAAAATCACTGACCCTCCCCCCCCCAGTTTTAATTCCTACATCTTTTTAGAACTTCTTAATTTCTATGTCTTTTGATAACTTGAAACCAGCTTAGGCAGATTCTTCTTCAAAAAATATAAATTATAAGCTACACCTGCTGGGGGACACCTGATTCTGGCTCTTTTCTCCTCTAAAATGGCTGAGTGAAATCGAAATGAAGCAGGAATTCATAGTAAAGTGTCAATTCATGGACTTGGGGCTTTGATACTTGGATAAGAAACAGAAGATCCTTGCACTTGGCCACTTAGAAAGGCTCTTGGTGGTGGCCTAGGTAGTAATTAATTCACAGATCCAGGTGTTGTATGTACACTGTCTATGTTCTTAGAGACAGCATGTCAGAACAACTTGAGGGCAAAGAGTCTGCAGTCGCGGCAGGTAAGAGACAGTTGGATTATGAGCATTTCAGAGTCAAACGTTTGATTTGAATTACACACCAAAAAGACATCTGCTTCTTTATATAAATGTATTAAGATGCCCAACATTTAAACACCTCAAGATTAAAATACTTCAACAATCTATTTTCTAATGTGTCAACTTCATCCTACCTTCAAAACCACAAGACAATAATCTGCTTCCTGTATAATCTGTGCTGAAATGGAAAACTATCTGATTTTTTTTTTTTTTTTTTACCAGTTATCTATTCAAATTTCTTCCTTTAATTGATTTGTATTACCGTGGCTAGAAGAGTCCGGCAGGACCATGACTGCCATGTTTTGAACAAAAGCCAGGACAGGAAAAATAGGTCACATGCGTGGACAGTTGGTTGACCTCATTTCCGACTAACTTGGGGTGTGCTCTAATGTTCCCAAATGTGCCCCGACACCCGATAAAATGCAGTCCTCTATGTCGTCAGGATAATCAGAAAAGCCATCTTGTGACATGTCAGCAAGCTCAAGGGCTCTGTAGGCAGAATCTTCCACGTTTCTAATATACTGCACTCATGTGTGCACATTTCCAAAGCCTGATGTTGAACACACTCTAAATTATAGCTGTGGAAGCGGAACCACATGTGCGGCCCGAGCCACAGCATCCTTCCGGCTCTGGAAACCCAAGTGGGTCACCCTTCACTGTGCTTCATGGCCCAAGAGGTCACGGCAGAGCAGCAAGAAGACACTGAGAACAAGACATTCTCCCTCCGCCCCTCGCTGCACGTGAAGCACCCTGAGACCTCTGAATTTGATGCTTAACGGGGAAAAAAGAAAGGGAGGGGGCCTCTGAAAAGAGATCTTGCAAGACTTTTAAACAAACTTCCCTGGGCTGCTCTGTGCCCAACTCAGAAGACACCAGAAAGGTAAGAGGGGTTCTTACTGTAACTATGCCAAACATAGCAAACTCACTTCCAGCTACTACATTAAAAAAAAAAAAAAAAAAAAAAGGTGGGGCCGCTCGGGCAGGGCTGACCAGACCCATTAGCCGGTTCGGGTCTCTCCTGGACAATGCAACACGGGGGAATGGCAACAGTTAAAAGAGCGGGGCTACCTTAAGTAAATGAAAAAGCCTATTTCCATATTTTTAAACAAAGGGGTCCTGCACCATCTGTCCCTGTCTGGGTGCCCCCTGCTCCACACTGAGAGGATTTGCAAGGGATTCAAGTGCACCTTCTAGATTAAATAGTCACTCGGCTGCTTAAGCCCGGTTGCCCAGACAATGGCCGCGCGGAGCACCCCTTCCTCCTTCCTTCCTGTCGAGTGTTCTGCCTGACTACACAAACTCAATGAGCGCGGCTCCCCCGCTGCAAGAAGTGGACTTGACCGGAGCTAAAACCAACAAAGGCAGATTCTGGTGGGAGCTGCGGAAGCGCCGGGCACTGAGTCAACAGGCGGGTTTCATTGAAATGCAAATGGCGCGGCCGCGGCCTCGGCGCGCCACCTCCCGCCCCTTAACTTCTCAACCCCCGCGCCGCGCCGCGCCCGCCTGAATGGGCCCATTGACGCGCCCGCCGTCCCCGCCGCGCGCTGGCCCGGCGGCCCCGGGGCCTCTGCGGCCGCAGGATCGGCCCGGCCACCGAAGCGCTCAGGCCTCGCGAGCTTTTGTCATCGCTTTCATTTCTGCACATCGTCATCACATCCTCCACAGCATCATCGCCCTCCGTCCCGGACCCAACAAGGTGTCCGCAGCCTTGCACGCAGGTTCGGCCGATTACCGAGCAAGGAACAGAAAACTTAACGCCGCTGCTGCGTTTCAAGTAAAAAACAAAAGTTCCAAAGTTCCACAAGGGTGGTTACCTCCTCACCCCGCAAGGATTTACTCACTTAACCTTAAGTATGTACTCACTTAAATCCTGTTCTCTTTTATCTAGAAAGAACCAGACTTAATTTTTTTCGGGTGCTAGATATTTTTTGACTTTGAAGGAGGGAGTTCTCACCGATGCTCCATAAGTGCTGAAATAAACAAAACAAATCCCATTTGGTATTTGATTACTGCCCGCCCCTCTCTCCCCACGCGCCCCTCCCCCTTGTTTTACTTTTACTAGATAATATTATCAACTTGCTGTTTATTTTGTGCTTTCCCCAAGGTTGAAAGTTAACGCACGCTCTGGGTGTTGAGGTTTTTTCTTCACAGAAATAAAAGGCTAATTCAATTTTTTAAGCAAACTGAGTTACTAGCAATAATCTTAAAATAAAGCCAAACGGTATTTAAAGATCACGTGAAGACATAAGATGACCTACCGGCCACATAATTGGCTGCTATTTCAGACTGCTAGTGTGAGAGAGAACAAACCTGACTCCATATTGGACCTATTCCTTTAGCGCCAACATTGTTCTCTGTTGCCTGTGCTGAGTCCTGCAAGCTGTGCGTCTTTGTGAAACAGTGTTGCCTAGATCCTGAAATATACTTGATAGCCCGCCCTCAAGGCTCTGACCTTTAAAGATATAACACTTTTCCCTTCATGTAAAGGTACCCTTCATGTAAAGATACAAAGTTGCAGAACGGAAAATAATTGTGCGAGGTTGATAGGAGCATTGTGAGCACACCCACAGGGACAGCGGCAAGAACAAAGGATTCCGCACCAAGACGTTGGGAACAACCAGCCACGCCCCCTCCCCTTTTAGTGTAAAAGAAGCCTGACTTTTAACTGGTTAAGATGCTTCTTTGGGCCATTTTCTCGGTCCGCTGGCTTTCCAGATAAAGTCACTATTCCTTGCCCCGACACCTGGTTTCTTGATTTACCGGCCGGTCGTGTTGCACGCAGTTCACGCTTGGACTTGGTAACGTTAGGAAGTAAGGACTGATATAACAATAACAAATATAATGGAGTAAATATTTATTTTTAAATCCCTCAATTTTTTAAGTTTACCAGAGTGTAATCATATTTGAACGTATAATAGATGTGTAATTCACTTAAATACACATGATTTTTCTAAAAAGAAACTAAAGGAATATTTACACTCTACCATCTTTGATTTTGCACGAGAATTTTTAAGTTATTAGTTAGACTTTAAAAAGAAAAAAGAAATTTCATAGTTTCTAACAAATTTCATAAAGTTAGAATTTTTTTTAGAAGGGAGTTTTTTATTTTTTTATTTATAAATTTGTTTTATTTATCTGTTTATTTATGGCTGCATTGGGTCTTCATTGCTGCGTGTGGGCTTTTCTCTAGTTGTGGCGAGCGGGGGCTACTCTTTGTCGTGGTGCTCAGGCTTCTCATCGCGGTGGCTTCTCTTGTTGCGGAGCATGGCCTCTAGGAGCACGGGCTTCAGTAGTTGTGACAGGTGGGCTTCAGTAGTTGTGGCTCCCGGGCTCTGGAGCGCAGGCTCAGTAGTTGTGGCTCGTGGGCTTAGTTGCTCCATAGCATGTGGGATCTTCCCGGACCAGGGCTCGAACCCGTGTCCCCTGCATTAGCAGGCGGATTCTTAACCACTGCACCACCAGGGAAGCCCAAAAGTTAGAATTTTTGATGCTCCTAAAGGAACAGTTTTCTTCTGTCCATTGCTTTTTTGTTGTGGTTTTGGTTTGGGTCTTGGTTTTTGGTAGTGCCTCCTTACCCATCTACCCAACACACACACACATACAGACACAAACACGCTTTTTGGCCTATAAGAGATCAACAGTACACCTGAAACTAACACAGCATTGTTAATCACCTATGCTCCAATATAAAATAAAAAATTTTAAAAAAAGGATCAATAATTGTTGGATTGGATTAAACTGAGTTGAGTAGATTTAAATTGAGTTGAGTTGGACCTACAAGACGTTCAGACTTACGCTAATGGTAGTCGTGTGATGGCATTTTTTCTGTAGTGTGCCTCTGATAGCTGTTTGCCCAGTGTCCATTTTTCCTTAGTATAGAAACAGCACCTGATTTTCAACCAGAGGACTACCCTCTCCCATTCACTGTCCAAGTGATGCACATCCATGGCTCCAGGGCCACAGCGAGTCCATAGGATGCCTTTGTGCAAATTCAAGTAATACACCCCTCCCCCCAGGCAGACGAAGCCCATGTGCACCAAAACACCAGGCTTGCCCAGCAAATAGCTGGGGCTGCACCGCCTGGTCAGCTGGAGGCTTTATACAGTTCACAGTTATCCTCAGTCCTTCCTATTCGCAGCACTACGCTCACTCACACTGGCAAATCAGCCTATTCAACTTCTCAGGCCAGAGTGAAGAGTTTCAAAAACAGGCATGTGAACCACCTTGAGCTCGTGAAAGTTAGCCAGAGAAGTTTAGCTGGAATTATTAGAAATGAGGCATTCTTACTTTCTAGTGGAGTGATTAAATGGTGGCATTTAGACTTGGAGCTGCACTTGACTATCACCATCATCAATGAGGAAGAGTCAGCCAAAGGCACATGAGATAGAATCAGAGAGATGGTTAATTGTATGATTTGAGCACCCAGATTCAGCCGTGTCTGAACCAATCACCTTTTCAGTTATGTATAAGAGCCAATAAATTCTTTCTTTCGAATCAGCCAGTTTAACGATTCTCTGTCCTTTGCAATCCAAAAGAATCTTAACCAGAACAATTGCCACAGTGGGAAGAGGTAAATCTCACAGTTGATGATATTCATGTAACTGAATTTATCTGGGGTTTCGATATCAGTGCAGTTTCATAATCCTTTCAGTTACAGGTACATCAGTATAAATCAACCTTATAAATAACCATTGTACTTCCCCCTGTCTTTTCTTCTTCAGTATATAATGCATTAACATAAAATACATGAATGAATTTTTATTTTCTTTGGGGATTTGAACACTTTTCTCTTAGCAGTGCCCATTGTTTAATACAGTTAGAGAACTAAATGGGGGTTTAGGTGGGAAGGTTGGAAACTACCCAAGGGGCTAATCCTCTTAACATGTTTAATTTTGATTATAAGTAGAAGATATATGACACATTGAAATTAATTTTTAAAAATCTTTTCACCCCATTGAGAAGTTTAATAAGTTTGCTAACTACATTAATAAATAAAAGAGCAGATCACATAAATTATGAGAACTTAAGAAAACAATAATCACTGGATAACAAAAAGTAAGACTTCACTAAGAAAAAGTTATACCAAATCAAATGGATTTCTCATTTGATAACCAATTCAGCAATTTGTTCTTTGTTCCCAGAAATATTCAGGTAGATGATAGAAGATGAATCATGTGTCAGGGGACAGTAGAAAGGATTCTGCCTTGCAGTGAAAAATTAGATTGGTTTTGAGGTTCCTTTTGATTTTCATATCCTGATTTTATGATTCTAACTTTCTAGATGTAGCCAATAGGAGCTTGCCCCCCAAATAATTACCATCTTATCATCAATTTAAGATGTCCCCCTTCCACTTCTCATTCATTCATAATTATCATTACATTACTTTGAATTATATTTATTTGAACCTTAAAAAATTAAATCTTGTTTTCAAAGAAGTATCAATATAACCACGTGAATTATTTCCAGTTTTTGCTCAAAGCTAAGTTCCTGTTGCTGTTTTTATTTTAAAATCTAAGAACAGGGCTTCCCTGGTGGCGCAGTGGTTGAGAGTCCGCTGCCGATGCGGGGGACACGGGTTCCTGCCCCGGTCCGGGAAGATCCCACATGCCACAGAGCAGCTGGACCCGTGAGCCACGGCCACTGAGCCTGCGCGTCCGGAGCCTGTGCTCCGCAACGGGAGGGGCCCCAACAGTGAGGGGCCCGCAAAAAAAAAAAAAAAAAAAAAAAAAATCTAAGAACAGAGGATTTATATATGAATGAAAATTAAAAGAAACTCATTCATTTTTTTCTAGTTCCCATTCTTTGTTATTCTTGGTTGTACCATTGTCATACCTTAGAAGATTGGGAAAAAATGCCATTCGTTCTTTGTTTTGTAAACATTGACTTCTTTTCCTTCCTTGCTGTAATGCTTGATATATCTGCTTTCTATTTTATATCTTAATTCTAGTGCCTTGTTGATAGCTCCACTCTTCCTTTAAGATTCCTAATATTTAAGAAGAAATGACCCACAGCTAATTCAGCCACCTTGACTCTCACCTGCCCTGCCTATACTATCTGCTGAGTTTAATCAAATGGAGAAAAGGGTCAGAGGTTTGACAGCTGCTTTAACAAGTATGAACAATAAGTTGAGCACGTAAGCGTTTATATAACATCCTTGTAGCTTGACTTCTTGTACTATAGAGTCCAGAAGCTCAACTCCACATTTCCCAGACTGCCTTGCAGCTCAGGTGTCCTCACGAGATCTAGCTTCTGCCAAGCAGACATGACCACTCAGAACTCAAGGGTGGAAGTGAACAATGTGAGCAGTGGACATGAAGGGGGAGATCAGATCTTCTGGAAAGCAGAAACATCCAATTCTTCCAGGGCAGCTGTGGTAGAGTTTCTGGAGTACAGTTCCTATGGTTACAGGTTCCAAATGACAGAAGGTAATACCAGGAGTGTTTTCTTCAAAACATGTCTATGTAGGACTTACGCATTTCTCAAGGCTGCTGTGTTCCTCTCTATGTAGCAATCATCCAAGCCTGGTTCTCTGGCCCTCCTGAAGATTCTTTAAACTACCTAGTATCTTCTTAAACTGATTAGAGTGAATTCTGATGGATAAAGTAATTGGTAACAGAGGTGGCTTTTCAGGCGAGGGGAGTAGAAATCTGAGATTGGTTGTCTGACTTGGTTGGATCTGAAGACACAGGATTTGATTATGATCAGAGGATGGGGCTCAGTAGTGAAAGTTGCCTAAACATTTACATGTAGTCACCGGATGCACTAGAATGCTGCTAAAATAGAACAGAATAGAGGGACATAAGAAATATAAAGTCCCGGACTTCCCCGGTGATCCAGTGGTTAAGACTCCATGCTTCCACTGCAGGGGGCACGGGTTCGATCCTTAGGGGAACTAAGATTCCACATGCCACACTGCGTGGCCAAAAAAAAGAAAAAAAAGAAAGTCTATGTGGTGGATTGACTAATTCTAATTGTCCTGGAGTGCTTAAAGAAAGAAAAAGATAACATCAGGGTTTTAAGTTCTTGGCTGCAGGCATGGTCAGAGACCAAGAAGTTACTGCAATTGCCCTGAAGACATTTGATCTCTTGACAGCCACATTTTTTTGTGCAACATAACCAAAAATGAGAGGTAGAGTCTGATCTTATGAGTCTCTGAATTATGACATAAGTGAATTTACATTCATATTAGTTCCCTGATGTGAAATTTTCGATTGCTTGGTACCCTGCCGCCTCCACCCGTAACTGGAAAGGGGATATTTGGGAGGATTTCACTACAATGAGTATCTCAATTGCCAAGTCCCGCTGAGCTACCCCAGCAGCAGCCTGGGCTCTCCTATATGTTGAAGTTGTGACTATCTTTCTTTAAGAGTCTGTAATAATCTCACCACAGGTAAATAACTTGCAGTAGATGCTAATTCTCCTTATCCTCTTCCCTTTCCACCATTCATTGCCTCCAGACAAGGAACTACAGTCATATTCCAGCATTCCTGAGTTTATGAAGCTTAAGAAGAAAAGACAAACACGATTGTAATAGTTTCCTAATTTAGATCGTCAAGAACTTAGATAGTCTATGGGGGAATGGCATCTAAGGTTTCTAGATCAGAGAGGGAGGAAAATAATTACAGGTCAGGTTGAATTAATCAACATGGCTGCACTTACCAGTGATTTTGGCTTAATGAGGTGACGGCCTTGTTTGTTCACTTGCTTTTCTGAAACCTGGACTCAGAGGTGGTGTACATGAAATGAGGTTGAGATGCCAGAAATGTCTTGATACAGTGTTCAGGAAGGAACCTAAAGACTTAAGGAAGTAGGTAGGTTGAGATGAATTTTCATGTGCAACATGCTTGCCCACTCCCTAACTATACCCACCAAGAGGTCCCAGAGAATACTCACTGAACCTTGACATTAAGCAGTGCATTGGCAAGGGACAATTGTCAACAGGTTTTTAAAGTGCAGTGGTAGTTGTTCTCTACAGGTGAGAAGTGAAGATGGGAGGAAACCCTGTTGAAAATGGCTTTCTTGTTTAAATGAGGATGATTAAATCCTGGGATGGCAGAGACCAAGTAGCAACATTTAACTGCCAGCAGTGAGGTGGATGTGGTTCCCAAAACAGGCATCAGAATCAAAGTAAGAATCAGAATTGTTTGAACAGTAGGAATCTTTGAAGGTAGCTAATTGAACACTGAGCTTTTAAGATCACAATAGATTGTCCACTTGCTGTTTTCCCCCAAATAGTTGTAACAGTTACTCCAGGCAACTGGATGGATCCCCTACATTGGAATTCTGAGCAGGGCTATCCTAGAAAAGGAAAGGATAAGTGGAAGTTCTGGAACGTCTCCCTCACTTTCCAAAATGTAAACCAAGATGAATACTGTTACCACTTAGGGGATCATAGAGAATAGTACCATCATTAAAGAAACGAAATTCCCATGGTCACCTCCTTTAACTTATTTGTTTGACTTAATCTCTGGAAAATATATTTGTTTTTGAGAATAACAGTAGACTACTAAGCTTTCTCAGTTGATGACTCCATAACAGGTATGTTTCATGTGTGAACTCATCATGGGAGCAAATCGACATCTGGAATGTACCTACTTATCCTGAAAAAGCTCCCCCCGCCCTTTATGTCTACAGAAAGTTTGCTATCACCTGGAAGGTTTAGCGTTATTCTTTCACCAGCTTCCTTCAAGGCTATGTCAACTCCCTGGTCCCCTGACATAATTTAGTCTGCTGAGACCTTGATCATCACCATCCCACAGGACATCTCTCTGGACTTCTACATTGATGATAATGTGCTAATAGGACTAATGAATTGGAAGTGACAGGTACTCTAGATGTCTTGGAAAGATGTGGACATGCCATAGGGTGGGAGCTAAAACCCAAGTACATTCAGAGATCTGTTCTTTATGAGGTTTCTGGGGTTTCAGTGGTCCAAGAAAGTCAGTATCTTCATTCCAAAGTAAGAAATAATTCGCTAAACATTTTGTTCACTACCACAGTGCTTGGTAGGTCTCTCGGGATTCAGGTGCTCCATTCTAGCCCATTAACAAAATAGCCCCTACAGCTTGTAGTGAGAGTCCAGAGAAACAGAAGATCCGGCAGCTCTTCCAGGCTAAATGGCAATAAATCCTATTATCTCTTATGACGTCGTGGATCAGGACGGTATATGGAGACTGTGGCTATAGGATAATTATAATTTTTAAAAAAGCTCCAGGGACTTCCCTGGTGGCGCAGTGGTTAAGAATCTGCCTGCCAATGCAGGGGACATGGGTTTGAGCCCTGGTCTGGGAAGATCCCACATGCCGTGGAGCAACTAAGCCGTGTGCCACAACTACTGAGCCTGCGCTCTAGAGCCCACGCGCCTATAGCCCGTGCTTCGCAACAAGAGAAGCCACGGCAATGAGAAGCCTGCACACCGCAACAAAGAGCAGCCCCCGCTCACTGCAACTAGAGGAAGCCCGCGCGCAGCAACGAAGACCCAACACAGCCAAAACTAAATAAATAAAATAAATTAATTAAAAAAAAAAAAGCTCCAAGGATTTTGGAGCAAAGTCTTTTCAGCAAATAGATATTTTCCTTTTGAGACAAACAGATGCTTCACACTCCCAAGGTATTACCCCTGTCTCCCATTTATCCTTTCACCAACATACATCCAGGACCTCATTGGCAACTCCCCATAACCAGGTGACTGAGGATAAAATATTCAACCTTGTTTAGAGAAGGTCCTATAAGTATGCTCACTCAAGCTGTAAATGTTCTACTGCAGTCTCACCCAAGACTGACTCAAAAATACAGAGGATGGAAAATGCTTACAAGCGGGTAGAACTTTGGGCAGTACATCCTATTGTGCACTTTGACTCTTAGGAGAAATAAGTGGAGGTAGAAATCTCTTCAAATGATGGACATAGCTAATAGTTTGGTCAGATGTATGGGAAAAACAAGTTTGGAAGATTGGTAACAAGGGGACTTGGGAAAGAGTCAGATAGATAGACCATTTGGAATATATACCAAGAGAATGGAGGTAATTGTGTTCAATGTCAATATTCACAATGGATTCTTCTACAAAGGAAGCATTCAATAATCAGGTCATTAAGATGACCTATTTTGTAGATATTTGTCACTTCTCTTCACTCAGCCATGCTTAGTTGGTTTATGAAATAAGAGATTGTATGTATGGGGTCATATACGGGTACAACATGGTTTTTCCTCCGCCAAGCCTAAACTATCTCCTGCTATTCCAATCTCCAACCAACAGAAACCAACGCTGAGCCCCTAATAGGACCACTTTAACATAAGGAACTAGCCAGCCACCTGGCAAGGCCAGTTACACTGAATCCCTTACATCATGAAGTGCATAATTATTGTCCTCACAGATGTTTATTTTGTATATTGATTTGGCCACCCTGCCTGCAATTGCTTCTTTGTGTGATCATTTACATCTGTTAAGTGAATGCTTTATTCACCAGCATGGTATCCCACATACATCATTGCTTCTGACCAAGGAGGTAAATTTATTGAAAAAAGAAAAAAAAGTAAGACAATGGTCACATGCCAATAGGATTCACTGTTCTCACTATCTACTCCACCCCCAAATAGTTGGCCAGATAAAAATAATTGTGGGGCTTCCCTGGGGGCGCAGTGGTTAAGAATCCGCCTGCCAATGCAGGGGACACTGGTACGAGCCCTGGTCTGGGAAGATCCCACATGCCGCAGAGCAACGAAACCCATACACCACAACTACTGAGCCTGCGCTCTAGAGCCCGCGAGCCACAACTACTGAGCCCGCATGCCACAACTACTGAAGCCCACATGCCTAGAGCCCATGCTCTGCAACAAGGTAAGCCACTGCAATAAGAAGCCTGCACACCACAACAAAGAGTAGCCCCCGCTCACCACAACTAGAGAAAGCCCGTGCACAGCAACGAAGACCCAATGCAGCCAAAACTAAATAAATAAATTTACTTTTTAAAATAATAATAATTGTGGTATGGCTTATTAAAGACTCAGTCACAGTACTGTCTGGGAGATGCTTTGTGCATTGGGGAGCTGCCGTACAAGCAGTGGTATACTCTTTCAACTAGTAGAGGTACTGTTCCTTCAGTAGCCAGGACACACGGCTCCAATAAAAATGGAATGGAAGATGGGGTGGTCTCCCTCTGTTACAGCTAATGACTCATTTGCAAGATGTTTTTATTTCCAGTCTCCTTGACTTTATTTTTGTTGGATTAAAGGTTTTATTAACCAAAGATAGAATGTTTTATTTTCTAGGAGGATATAACAATATTCCAATCAAACTGGAAGTTGAGACTGCTACCTGGCCATTTGGAGTTCCTGAACCTCTGAATTAACAGACAAAATTCGGGTGTCATGTTGGTTGGAGTGATTGTTCCATAATCCAAAGGGGGAAAAAGATAGCTGCTACACAATGGGCATAGAGAGGGGTACATTTGAACCCAGGATATCCTCTAAGGTTCATTTTAGTTATGTGGTAAAAGTTAATGGAAGATGTGAAAAAGATGCTCAACATCCTTAGTTATTAGGGAAATACAAATCAAAAGTATAATGATTACCACTTTACATCTATTAGGATGGTTATAATTTTTAAAATGGAAAATATCAAGTATTGGCAAGGATGTGGAGAAATTGGAACACTCATGCATTGCTGGTAGGAATGTAAAATGGTGCAGCCACTGTGGAAAACAGTTTGATAGCTCCTCGAAAAGTTGAACAGCAGTTCCACTCTTAGGTATATACCCAAAAAAGCTGAAAGCAGGGAATCAGTTACTGGTACACCATGTTCATAACAACATTCACAATAGCCAAAAGGTGAAAACAGCCCATGTCCATCAACATATGAATGGATAAATAAAATGGATACATACATACAATGGATTACTATTCAGCCAGAAAAAGGAATGAAATTCTGATACTTGTTACGACATAGATGAACCATGAAAACATTATGCTACTGAAATAAGTCAGACACAGAAGAACAAATATTGTATGATTCCACTCATATGTGAAGAATCTAGAATATGCAAATTCAAAAGACAGAGGTCGCTAAGGGCAATTGTTGGAGGGTGGAATGGGGAGGTATTGCTTAATAGGTACAGAGTTTCTGTTTGAGATGATGAAAAAGTTCTGGAAATAGTGGTGATGGTTACACAACATTATGAATATATTTAATGCCACTGAATTATATACTTACAAATAGTTAAAATGGTAAATTTTATTTTATGTATAATTTACCACAATTAAAAAGAAAGAAATATCCCTCAAAGACTACAGCAGCCCCATATAAGCAGTATCACCAAGACCTCAGACTTCTCAAGCATGAAAAATATGGTTGGAGCACCAGAGAAAGGACTCCAACCAGATGAGATGCTAGATGAAAGCATAGAAAAATGGAATGATTAGTAGGGGAAAGAAAGTATAAAAGTTGGTAACAAACTTATGACCAAAGAAAAATAAGAGGATGGTTTCACTTCATTATTTTCTTCCTAATTTTTTTATCCATCTCCCTTTCCCCATTTTCTTAGATAGATAATTTTATAATTTATCTCCTATGCTATAGGAAGCAAATGGGATTGTGACTGAATTAAAGTAGAAATGAACATCGCTCAGAGTAGGTGTGGTGATTGGCTTTTTTCCTCCCCCCTTTTGTGGAGAGGGTGAGGGTGCATTTGTAAGAGAAATCATTGCATTCCGTCGGTCAGGAGCATGTTGCTCTTGCTATTATCATTTGGATGTTTAAGTATGGGAGGATAAATAGGTGTTTAATAATATAGGGATAGACTC